ACGTGATCAACAAGAAGTAAAGAAAAATTATATTTGTTTTTCTAATTTTTGTTTTTCTGCTTGATTAAGTGGCAAGTCCGAGCGATTTTCAACGTTTTCACAATGCTCTATCAACTAATCTAAAAACGATTAGTGATAATGGTTTGTCGAATAGATCATTATTTACATTTATTTGTTCTTTTCTATTTATTATTTATTTTATAGTTACGGATCTTGAAAAACTTGCTCAAAAGTTAGGTACACCAGAAGATAGTGAACGATTACGTGAACGTTAGTAAGTTAAATAAATAATTATAGAATGAATCCATGGATATTCAACCACTTTTTGAAACAGTATTTTTTTATCAAATGTTACACACTGGTTCGATGGAAGGCAAATAGAAAATAACTTCGCTCGAGAAAAAGTTATCACTTCTATCTCAAATACTGAAGATTTGGATCGTTTTCTGGAAACATTTAAGGGATGTCATATGTGTTATTCAAATATCCATGGTTTATATTTTGCTCAAAGATGTGGAATGCTTAGACTTGCACAGTCTTCAAAGGATTCTGTTTTCAATATATTATGGCCAAAATACAAGACTGCTACCGAATACTACTACTACAACGCACGTACCGTGAAAAGAGTGTTTATGATCAAAATGGTGCAAAAGCTTTGATTCTTAAAAGCCTTGTATCTTGGCCGTAATATATTGAAAAAAAGAATCCTTTGGAGATTTTGCTGGTCTAGTGATCTCCATCTTTGGGCAAAATACGAGTCTTAAATATTGTAATAAGGTATATGACACCCCTTAGATGTTTCTACAAAATGATTCAAAGCTCTAATATTTTAGATAGACGTGACAGTTTTTTTTCTTCTCAAGTTATTTTCTTTCCACCTTCCATCGAACCAGCATATAATATTTGATAAAAAAAAAATCCTTTTCCAAAAAGTGGATGGATACCCATGGATTCTCTCTATATCTAAACTCAAACACTTTTTTTAGTCACCGTCTTCAAAATGAAACAAAAAATATAATGCAACAAACAAATGATGCTCTGCAAGAACTTAATAATGCTCGTGTATTAACAGAAGCTGATCAGGTTTGATTAAAACAAATTAAGACGACTTTTTGTTTAACAAAAACAAAACAACTCTTTTTAGAGACGTAAAAAAATGTTAACTGACACTTTACCAAAACAATATTTAGCAACGTTAAGTCGTTTTCAACAAGCACAACATATTGGTGCACGAAAAGAAAAAGAAAGTCTTGATCGTGCGCGGGCTATCTCATTTCATCAATATGGAACATTAGATTCACAATTAGCTGGTGATTTTGTTTCTGGTCCAACATATGATCAACTTCAAAGACAAGCTGTTTCATCTATTGAACAAGAAGTCGATATGAGAGCATTAAGAGAACGTCATGAGCAATTACGTGAACTTGAGGTAAAAGAAATTGAATATTTTAAAATGAAAAGTGGTTGAAAACTATGCTATACATACAAAGTTAATTGTATTTATGTTAAAAGAGCATCAGAATTTCGTATGAGATGAATCTTTCATGTAATTACAATTTTTTATCGAGCGTTCAATCTGTTTGAAAATATTCAAGTATTACGTCGAATAACTATATAAAGAAACGAGACTGATATTATTGACAAATGATGGAATCCATTCAGTATCGATGATGATACTATCTGACAGTAAATGGAGAGTAAGATGCTCCTTCTAGTCTAATAGAATTAGAACATCTACTTGGATAGAAGAAGGATTGTGCTTCAGATTCCATGAAAAGCATCATTTTCTTCGTTCTGTTGCATGCCATCACTGGCACTACTTACGAGGGAACCTTCTTGGTTATTCCTTCCAATATCAAGAATTTTTTTCTATAGGTACTGAATAGTGTTCTAATGAAAACTCTAATAGAATGTCGCTTTCTTTTAAAACTTGACTAAACTATCAAGTTTTTTAGTCTGTCTATGTACTAGCGACTGCAGCTTTTTGAATAATTCGCATTTCTAAATTTGTTATGTGAAGGTTTGCGCATATGAAGGACTTGATTAGGTTAGCTTTCATAAAGAAACTCACCAGTTTTAATCAAATTCTCTTCGATATATGAAACTTTCAACATATAGACCCTTTTTCCTGGATAATGCTATCTAACATGCAATTTTAGGAACCATAATATCTCGAGACGACTTTGTTTTGAAAACTTGTGAAATTTTTTATGGAAGCTATTATAGATGAGTTCTTTCTATGCGCAAGAGTTCATATCAAAATTCATAAATATGCATTTTCCGAAACCGGGAGCCTATAGGACACACACATACTACAAATTCGAGAGTATAGTCAAATCTTAATATGAACTCAGTCCTTTTAGAGTTTTTATTAGAACAGCATGTAGGATCAATAGGCACAAAATCATTGAAATCACAAGATAACATCTGAGGAGATTTTGTCGTTTATCCACACGCTGTATATATGTTGAAACTGACTAAAGTGAACAAGTCTGACATGCTGTATACATTTTTCTGCACATGTGTCAATGCGATTAATTGATACAAACGCGTCTAAGAGTGCTGACTTGTATGAATGGGAAAAATGTTAACATAGGTGATGATACACTCCGACGTTGAACAGAGAGTTAAATGTCTTTTCTTAAAAAACGAGTGTTTTTAGTCGGTCTTTTTAAATAAGTTTGACTTCTTTACGGTTTCCTTGATGCATTCAACTTTTTAAAGGAGCGGTCATAGAAAATGCGACGATTCTTTCTTTTGTACAGAATCTTGCGTTCTTTGAAATGGTATTGTTAAAAAAGAGCTTCGAGCACCTAAAAATTGTAGTAACTGGTTTTTAGAAGCCTATTGCTGTGGTTTTAAAATTCTATATAGTAATCAAAAAACGTTTTATTGAATCAATTATTTAACATTTAGAGGAACATTGTTGAAGTTAATGAATTATTCAAAGATGTTGCTAAACTTATCCATGATCAAGGCGCTGTTATAGGTAAGTTGATTCACATTTAACACAAGAAAGATGGATATGACAAAAATGGAGAACTTAAAAGAAGAAAAAAAAAGATTTAAAGATACTATTGCAGAATCATGTTGAAATCACTGTCTAACAAACACAACATATACTGATCAACTTCAAAGTGACCGGACAATTCGTTGCAGGACAATTCGTCGCAAGACAATTCGTCACGATGATATAATCCAATCATAGTTTATATTTTTGTTTCAACAATAAAGCGACTTATTTAATTAAATTCAGAGCATGTAATCCCATGACTATAAAAAATTATGGAAAATATTACTCATGCTTAATTTCGATTTTTAATCTCGAGATGAGTTACTAGAAAGAATCTTACGAAGAAAAAAATATCCGACCCGTTTCCTACTTCAAAATTAATGTCAATAGCATGTAAAAAATCCTTGATTACGAGGTATCAACAAAACTATTTCTGAAATCGTATAAATCATCGATCAAATTTGACTAGTGTAGGTTTACATATATAAAGTAACAGGTGATGGTCGCTACAGTAGCAGAATTTGTAAATCTCATGTGAGAATTAAAAAACAGAAATTCCATAGAAGTTGTTTTTTTTCTGATGATGTCAACACTGCTTCTCTTCAGAGCACGCTAAATTTCACTAGTTCTTTCAAAGTATTTTCTCATCATCAGAAGCCTTGAGCTGCAATGAGAATAAAAAAAGGCACAATGTCACTCTCAGTGATATAGAAAAACTTTCTTCACTTGTATAGCTCCGATAAGCTAATTTTTATCCCAACAAGAAGATTATCGTACTGCTCGAGATCAAAAATCGGAATTTCAGGATGAGTAATATTTCCAATAATTTTTATATTCATTGGATTACAGGTTTCGAACTTAATTGAATAAGTCGCTTCATTGTTGAAAAAAATATAAACTATGATTGGATTATATAATTGCGACGAATTGTCCTGCAACGAATTGTCCTAACACCCAACTTCAATAATTAAGAATCTATTTTGTGAAAGAATCATAAACAAAAATGTTCCTGATAATTAATTAAATAATAATGCATTTAAATCATAATTTTGGTACATTTTTCTAGACTCTATTGATGAACATATAATCAATACGGAAGTGAAAATAGAACGTGGTACTCGACATATAGAAAGCAGCGTTAAACATCAGGTTGGTTTTTCTTTTGTTTTATTTCAAAAAAATTGAACTTGTATTTCGCATTTATAATTTTTGATTTTGTTTGTTTTGAAATTTGCAGAGCGCTGCTCGATGTAAAATAATCATATTAGTTACAATTTTGATCATTGTTATTGCCATTATTATACTTGTTTTGGCTTTAACATTGAAAAAGTGATACTTAGATAGGTTTGTATTATAAATAAATTCATGTGTTTAAAGTATTTCGTAGTTTTTTTTTCTTGTTTTTTTTGTTTAGAGACATCTCACTCATATGCACTTCAAATTTTTATGTGTGTTATAATATCAACTAATCAACTATTTTATTCTTCCTTATTCTTATTAATATTTGAAATAAACCTAGCAGTTATTTTGTTCTTTTTTTCCATGCGCACAAACACTGGGTGCAGGATATTGATTGTAAGATCTAGTATTTTGTAAATATCTCAACACAGATAAATTATATTATTTTTTTTTAAAATTTGCCGTGAAGTTGTCTAGCAGGATGACGATGAGAAATTCCCTTGAGTTACTTTGATGGTTTTTTATAAAGTTAAAAGTGAAGAACTGTATTATGATAAAATATCCATCCTTGTGAGAGAAGTAGCAATGACAAGAGCGTTAAAAAATAGTCTTTTTTCTTATTTTGGAGCTGGACGTTTTTTGATATCATGAATGTTTATGAAAAATATTATCGGCATCATGTCGTCAGCTGCATGAACTCTTTGAAGAAAAGAGTCGATCACATTGTGAACATATCTCACATCAATTTGCAAGCATGCTCTTTTATTTATTTTTTTGCATCGTTTTATGTTTTGATCTTTTGATGATCATATTTTTATTGACACTATCATAGCAGAATAATATAATGGACTCAAGTCTGGTGAGCGAAGAGAGTAGCGATCTTTAGATGTAAAATCAAGCAGATTTGGAAAAGCGTGCGATAAGCACTACAAGCAGTCGAAAATTTGAAATACGTTTTTTTTTGTTCATTCTCTTTCGATGTCGTGCTCTTAACAACAATCAGATTTCGATCACCGAAAACTATATCCAATCGAGCTTCCACTTTTCGACTCTTTGAATACCATGCGAGATGTCGGCATTCATTCACGTTTCGAGTACGTAACAAGACAAAATCTACCGAAAGATAACTGACAACTCTCTGAGAGCCTTTCAACCACTCAAGGAAAAGAACTGTATAGAAAAGATACTTTTCAGTGTTGTAGCAGAAGCGAGTGCCTGGCATAATAACAGGTCTAGTTGTCGAGTTGTGCTTCGATTACATGATACTTCTTCAAAAAGCAATTTTGAAATGTCTTCGTTTTGTTTCATAATCTTCTAAGTAATATTTGATATTAATTGATGAATACTTAGAGTGAAACATGTAAGAGTTCCGAAAGAAGATATAGTCATTAGGCTTTGTTCTGGTTTTGAACCTTTGAAAAACTTTTTAAATATTGATTCTCTACGGGATCATGAAAATGAGTTATTCATCCTATGTTATATCCTGATGTGAGATATTTACAACATATTAAATGTTGCAATCTTTATGCTGCACCTACTATTTTAGATTAAAATAACGGAGAAACGAATAGTATCTTTTGCAAAGCGTAGTATTCATTTTCCTTTTGAAATAAGTTTTGAAAGTATTATGGAGGATGCTTGTGATGAATAGCTTCAAAAGGATAATAGTTTTCACGATTGTATGGAAGACGAGTACTGTTGCATAAATAAATACAGAGTGTTGATATCTTATCGAAGTTAAGAATGGTTAATGAAATGTCTCTGATATTTGAAATATAAATTTTCGATTACTTATTATGAGTAAACCAAATCTAATATTTGAGAATTTTCAGCTTTCAAAGCATCTGAGAATATGATAAAAGTGGTTCATTAAGTAATAGTAATTATGCTATACATTAGCAGTTGATAATTTTTCAGAGATGATTCATGATAGAACCAAGGCACTGATCAAAATTCAAATTGCCAAGTTTTCATGTGCATGCGAAAGACTATCATCTAAAACCACACGCATCTCAAGTTTTAGTTTATTTCGATGTTCTATCGTTAAGTTAATCTAGATCAACTGTTTAGCAGTATCTTATCTATCTAAAATGTATGTGACTTGATGTAGTTTTTGATATTGATTTCGAATGTCACATTTATTTTGTTGTAGAATCACGTCATGCCATTGAAAACTGCTTAAAGTCTATTTTTTTTCTTGTATCTCAAAATCACTATGTAGAATAGAAGTGTGAACCCTGTTACGTCCTGAAGGTAAACTTTTTGCTCAGGATTTTGTGGGGAATACAAAGTTACATAGCATATAAAAAGCTCAGTTTGATCTCTTTTAATCTCAAAAAATTGATATTACACATACTGTTCACCAGCAATCATTATATATTTTCAAATGGTTACCTGTCTCACTCTTGTTGGACTATATAACTCCAGTATATTGATGATATTCAGTTTTTCATACTCTATCTTTTGGTATATTCCATCAAGAAAGAAATTCTCTGACTTGTTGACAAGTAGTTGATAATTTTATTTTGTCTATATATCTTAAATCTAGATGAGCTAGAATAGTATGGTTTTAATGCAATTACAATCCGTAATCTCTAATATACTAGTGGATAATTTCAGATGAATCCATGTATTTGTTTAATTTTGATTGCTGATGCAATGGTAGCATGTCGTTTTTCACCCTTCTAAAATTATTCAACCAAGTTCTTTTTGCAAATTGGAACGTGTCTGTTCTAAGCTCAAATTTCTCTTATAATACGTGATTTAATAGAACAAATTGTATTCTACTTAAAGATTACTTTCAATCGTAGCTTTACTCTGAGTTAGATTTAGAAAAACAATCTCTGATTTATCGACAAAGAAAATTTCTAAGACAAGGGCGGCAAAAAACTGTTTTTCATATTATGTTTAGCCGATCTATTGTTCAATATAGCATTAATCAGAGTACTACAAATTGTAGATGATATACTAATGTTACAAAATTATGTTGATCATCTTCTTTGCGCATGGCAATCATAGAGAGATAGTCTCACATGAATTCTAATGATTGAAAACAAAAACAATCATATACTGTATTTCTATACTTTTATTATGCAAGAATAAATAGCTTTGTATAGTTCAGAAATAACTTAAATACAAATAAAATTAAATATATAACTAATTTTGGTGCGTGACATCTAAGCATATAGAGGATAAGATTTAGAACAATATACTATGCTATGATTCATTTTGTAGATGTTACTTTGATAAGGTACAAATCCAGTCTATTGCTGAGGCCACAGTGAATCTTTTTACTCCTGCATAACAATGGTACATAACTTATTCGGTATGATCGCTTTTGATTCCAAATATACAAGGTTTGTACCAAAAATGATTTTCAACAAATCTACACTTTGCATCGAACTTTTCATTCGATATTGATACTGGTAAAATATATTATGCCAAGATTAGGATTTGGAATGTTATGATTAATAATCGATGAACTAGGAAAATCTCTTAGAAAGAAACTGCTGTATAATATTCTCGTCAAACTCGTATAGTAGAGAGATATTCAAAACTGAAATAGGCCTGTTTGTCAAAGATAATTCAATGCTTTGTTTTTTGATCATGAAAATGTTCATGTAGACTTCTTATCTTTTGTTTCTAGTTTTCATTTAAATCAGTTACAATTTCGAAAATAAAATTATGCTTACTGAAGATATAAGAAAAAGTGACTTCGATGTATTGAAATCGTTTTCTGGAAAACTATGATGTTTACAATAATACAATATCAAAGATATTCTGATACTGCATTGTGAGTATTCGTGTGTTATCTTTTTCTGCACGACATCTTTGTTTGTCTCTATAATTGTGACTGAAATTAACTTTTGTGCATAAAATATTGTATTGATATATATTTATCTTATTTATAATAAGCTGATAACTATTCATACTAGAAAAATTCTGATTTTCATTATCGAAGATTTTAAATGAATCTTCTTATTTATGTTGTAGTCTACAGCGATTCATTCAAGCAAAACGTGCAAAACCAATATCAATATGCATGCAAGCATAACGGTCACATGTTTTTTTTTTTTCTTGTTTTATCATATAGTGATTGCTTCGAATATACATTCGTTCTTACACATCAAAGTTATGAGAAAAAATATGTAAGCAGTGCTTTTTCTCAATGTTCTGCTTTTATGACGAAGAGTGGTCGTTAAGTGGTGAAATCAATTCCCTCTCGATATTGAATTTTGTTCTTTTTCTAATAGTCAATTCAGATGGTAGGATTTGATTGGAACTTCTATTACGCATTTAGACATTCTTATGGCTGAACGTCACTGATTCAAAACTCAATATTACCTATATCTAATTTCGCCATGCTGTACAATAGTGTTTGTATGGAAAGTTTTTCTCTCTGTTTCAACTCTTTTACTTTGAATTATTTATCTAATGAAAACGCTCTATTGTTTCTATCGTATGGTATAGAGAAGTATGAAAAAATGTTGTTCTTTTCCTTTCTCATTCAGATGAAATAGTTCGCGTGTATGCACAATACAGTGACAGCTATGACGATTTTTCCTCTCTATGCTATGCTTTGAAAGTAGCTTCTCACTTTGAACTTAATTCGAGCACTTAGCACTCATGAGTACGAAAAATGACCTTTCAGACTGATACTCGACTTTCTATCCACAGATATATGTTTTAAAATTAGCAGAAAATGCTGAGAAGATCTATATATGTTACCAAAACCCTTCGATAACTATTATTTTCATCTGAAAATTCAGCTCCGACTCCTTCAGAGTGACTTCAAACATCAAGATCAGTCAAAACATTATTGTTAATATTTATTCATCTGTCGTTTGGATTTCGATATCTCTTTAAAGACTTGGAAGTAGCTTTTCACAGTCAAACTTACATTTTGACTGATTTCTATTTCTAAGACAACCTAATGAGAATGAGAATTGAATTTTCAGATGAACATGAGAGTTGTTGGAAGCTTTTGTTAGCGATATAGATCGACTCAATCTTTTGTGCTGACTTATAAATATATCTTTTTTCTGCGTTACAAAGTCTAAGTATTCTAAGCCAAAGCATTCGAACATAAATCGAAAAGAAAATTTGTTTCGCAATTATGAGCATTGTACATTCGAATGAAATCTCACGTACTTA